GGAGACAAATTGACAGTGTTCGAGTTGGAACAAAGTATTGGCCGAGAAGTCAACAAGGTGGATTGTTTAGAAGAAGAAGTGCTTACAAGGGAGCTGGACGATGAAGTAATGCGGATCATCAATCCTGGCTATGCTCAAGCACAAGACCCTCTGATTAAAGTGAATATTGGCAATGAAGAGGAAGATCGTCTAATATTCGTCAGCCAGATACTCAATCAAGTGGTTAGTGATAAATTAATCGCTTTATTAAAGGAATATAAAGATTGTTTTGCTTGGAGATATGAACATATGCCTGGTTTAGATAGAGATTTGGTGGAACATAGATTGCCAACCAAGCCAAATTTTAAACCTCATAAGCAACCTCCTAGGCGTTTTGCTCCTAATGTACTTCGTGAGATTAAGAAAGAAATAGAGCGATTATTAAAAGCAGACTTTATTAGAACAGCCAGATATGTAGAGTGGTTGTCCAATATCGTGCTAGTGCTAAAAAAAAATGGTAAATTAAGGGTGTGCATAGATTTTAGGAACCTAAACATAGCCACACCCAAAGATGAATATCCAATGCCTACGATAGATTCTTTAGTAGACTCAACTGCCGGACACGTAATATGTTCCTTCATGGATGGGTATTCAGGATACAATCAAATTTATATAGTTGAGGAAGATATACACAAAACTGCCTTTAGGTGCCCTGGATCTTTAAAATGTTTTGAATGGGTAGTTATACCTTTCGGCCTGAAAAATGCAGGAGCGACTTATCAAAGGGCAATGAACTTGATTTTTCATGATATGATAGACAAGTTTGTTGAGGTGTATGTAGATGATATAATGGTCAAATCCATTAAAGAAGAGGACCATTTTGAACAATTGAGATGTTCATTTGAGCGAATGAAGCAATATAAACTAAAATTGAATCCCTTGAAATGTGCATTTGGTGTTAATGCAGGAAACTTCCTTGATTTTTTAGTACACAAAAGGGGATTGAAGTTGATAAAAATAAAGCGAAAGCCATTTTAGAAGTCAAACCACCATGCAATAAAAAAGAATTGCAAAGGTTCTTAGGCCAAGTAAAT